AACGGAGGCTATGAAGCTCTTGAAGAAGAATACAATGGTACACAACATGTTTTCATTTTACATGTTAATACTAATTCCTCGTCATCCTCAGAAGAAGATGAATCAACTATTGATGACTCAGATTAGTCTTAAACAGACTCCACCTTTTAAGAAGGGAGAAGTTAACCATTTTTGTGCAAACCTCCAGAAAAATAATGATTCTCTTATGAATCTCACTAGTCCAAAATCTATTTATGTTTATGCTTTCCTTAACTTCAAAGGATATAAGAAATTTAGGGTACACTGCTTTGTAGACACAGGTGCATCCTTATGTCTTGCAAGCAAGTTCATCATTCCAGATGAACTATGGGAAAATGCTCCCAAAGAAATTATCGCTACCATTGCAAATGGTGACACTATAAAAATTAATAAAGTTTGCAGAAACATTAATCTCGAGCTTGCAGGTGAACATTTCAATGTTCCCACTATTTATCAACAAGACTCAGGAATTGATGTTGTAATTGGCAACAACTTCCGTCAAGTCTATGGACATTTAAACAATGGATAGATAGAATTTCCTTTCATCTTAACAACGATATGGTAATTGTAAAAAAGGTTACCGAAGCTTTTAGTAAAGGAAAACCAGGTTTTCTTGAAACCCAGGAAAAGGGTTCTAAAAAAACAAATTTCGGGTACCAATATAACCCAAGAAGGAATTATTGGAGAAAGGATTGTTTCTGTCCAAACCACCCTTTTCAAACAGATAGAAGATCTTCTTGAAAAAGTTTGTTTTGAAAATCCTATTGATCCAGAGAAAACCAAAGGATGGTTGAAGGCTTCAATCAAGCTCATTAATCCTAAAACAATTGTTAGTGAAAAACCTATGGTTTACTCTCCACAAGATAGAGAAGAATTCTCCAAACAAATCAAAGAATTACTTGATATGAGGTTAATCAAAGAATCAAAATCTCCTCATATGTCCCCTGCTTTTCTTGTTAACAAAGAAGTAGAGAAAAGAGGAGGAAAGAAACGCATGGTTGTCAACTACAAGGCAATCAATGATGCAACCATTGGAGATTCCCATAATCTCCCTAATATGCATGAGTTCTTAACTCTACTACGGGGAAAAAATATTTATTCAAGTTTTGACTGCAAATCTGGTTTCTAGCAAGTACTACTTGATGAAGAATCACAGCTACTCATTACTTTTACATGTCCCGATGGGCTCTTTCAATGGAAGGTACTACCCTTTGGGCTTAAACAAGCTCCTAGTATTTTTCAAAGACACATGCAGAATGCCCTTCGAGGTCTTGAAAGTTTATGTACTGTATACGTTGATGACATCATGGTCTTTAGCAAAAATGAACAAGAACACTATGTTCATGTTACCCAGGTTCTCACAACCATTTTAAAATACGGAATAATACTTTCACAAAAGAAAGCTCATCTTTTCAAAGCAAAATTTAATTTTTTGGGTTTAGAAATAAATGAAGGCACTCATTGTCCTCAAAAACATATTCTTGAACATTTACATGATTTTCCAAATGTTTTAGAAGACAAAAAACAACTACAAAGATTTCTTGGTGTTTTAACTTATGCTGAAACATATATTGAAAAACTTGCAGCCATGAGAAAACCCTTACAGGCAAAATTTAAAAAAAGATGTCATTTGGAATTGGTCAAATACTGATACAGATTACATCAAATAGATAAAGAAAATTTTAATCAATTTTCCAAAGCTCTATCTTCTGAACATTGAAGACAGTTTAATTATTGAAACTGGTGCTTCTGATGAATTTTGGGGAGGAGTTTTAAAGGCCAAAAATTCCAAAAACGAATAACAAATTTGCAGGTACACCTCTGGCAGTTTCAAAGTAGCTGAGAAAACTATCATAGCAATGAAAAAGAATTACTCGCTGTAAAAAGAGTTATTACAAAATTCTCTGTATATTTAACACTGGTAAAATTCCTGGTCCGTACAGATAATAAAAATTTTACTTATTTTCTCCGAACTAAGATTGCAGGAGACAACAAATTAGGGCGACTAATACGTTGGCAAGAATGGTTCTCTCGATATAATTTTACTGTAGAATATCTTGCAGGAGATCAAAATGTGCTGGAAGACTGTCTCACCCGTGACTTCAGGTATGTCTTACATCATCCATGATCTCACTTGCTCCTCTCGAGCCCTATAAAAGGATATGATCCCCACGACATTTTCCTTACAAACTTACTCACAAAGAAGAGAGGGGGAGGATAAAAGAGTTATTGAAAAATTACAAAATGGAAGACCTCAAATCCTTGAGGATGAAGAAACAAATGCTCCTCATAGAGCTATCAGCAATCGAACAAAAAATCAACTTGTATGAAAAAGTAACAACGGTCACCCTTGTACTGGAAAGCAAAAGCTTAGAAACAAAGGCTATTCCAATGCAAACGACACCTGGTAAAGAAACAACCACTACTAGAAAAACAACCTTTTACGACGCTCATTGCGCGTTGTAAAAGGCTCAGACGACGCGCAAATGCGCGTCAAGGAAGGCCCTGTCATAAAGAGAGACGACGCGCATTTACGGCGCTCATTTACGACGCGCAATTACGACACGCGTTTACGACACGCAATGCGTATCAAGGAAGGCCCTGTCATAAAGGAAGACGTCACGCATTTGTGTGTCGTAACCTTACGACGTGCATGTTAATGACACGCAATGTGTATCAAGAAAGCCCCTGTCAAGAAAGGCCATGTCATAGATGAAGACGACACACATTTTTGCGTATCATAATTTTAAATGTTCAAAAAATATATTATTTATAGATTTACTAGTTTTCAAATTAAATTTGTATTTAATGTGTCATAATAAAAATTAAAATACCATATACAAAAAAATAAAATCCATTGCATAATATTTAATGTCATACAAATAATAGATGAAAGTACATTTCTATTTCTTCTATTTATCGCTATGTTATTCGATGAAATTTCAATGTGACATTAAAGTAATCTCTCCAATGTGACATAAGAGACAATTTGATTACATACAACTTGAAAAATGTGAGCATCCGACCTCAAAATTTTCTATCTTTGCAAAAATCTTGTTACGCACTCCCCATGTGCTAATAACCTACAATTTTCCATAAAACTTACAACTTAATGAGTATATGATAAGAAACATCTAATGGAATCACAAAAGACAAACTTCACCTCCTTATCTTTATCAGTGAGAGTTGGCAACTGAATACATATTTAGGATACATGCAAGGTGAATAACGAACCAGATAGAGTAACAAAATTCTTTATCAAACATACATCCTCTCCCTTCACCTCATTTACCTATGTATTAATAAATCAAAATTTGATAATTTGCAAATGATCTGTGGTTATAATTTTTCCTTACCTCCAATTACTTATAAGTTAACAGTTGACTGAAAAAAAAAGCAAATGATTAGACATTATATAAAGTAGAAAGTTATAAGATTGTATATTTATGCCTTATAAAAAATTGTTTAAAAAGTTATATAGAAGGAAATGTAGCTTATTATTATATATACTTGAAACACCAAGCAAGGAAAATAGGAAACAACATAGCTAAGAAGCTTTACCAGTTCAACTTGACTAGTGATGCGATTCTCAAGCTCTTCCATGACCTTACTTAGCACGGATTCTACAAGCTGCACAAGCAGAATAATATCATAACAAACATGAGAAATTAGTTGTTGTTGTGACAAAAACTTGCAAAACACCAAATTACACTTACCATGGGAACCTCATCAGGTTTCAACCAACCTAATTAGACACTCCACCACCTTCAAATTAAAAATATCGACATTTATTTACTTTTATTCCCTTTCATTTTGCAAATTGAGGAACATTTATTTATTTAAAAAATATTAATAACTTACTACTTTATACGCTCCAGAAGAGGCTATTAACCGACATCCATCAATCTCCATTGTTATCTGACATAGATTGGAAGCAAGAAGCAAACTGAAGAGAAGGAGCTATAAACAAAAATTATGACATTTATTTAGTCTCCATTTATTTTCTAAACTTAGTAATAAATGAGAAATAAAAAGAGACAAACCTTTGTTCATCTTCACCTTTCAACTAAAACCATATACCCTAACTTAGTAATAAATGAGAAATAAAATGGATGAATACTGAAAATTGTTTGTTGGAATGTAAGGGTAATATATATGATCATTTAGTTTCATTTAGAAGGTTTATTCAGTCTAGGAATAAAAAGTAGTTTATATATGCAACACTTTATCCAGATATGCAACATTAAGTCACTGTACACATACAGAACCTAAAAAAAGATATACATTTTAATAAAAAAGAAAAGGACAATGAAAAAAGATAAGGAATTAAGAGACTACTCACCTCAAGATATACAACATATACAAATTTTAGACCTTCTTTGGTTGCAGAAACAAGCTTCTTCCCCTCAAACTCCTTCTACTGACCATCCTGCTTCTGTTTCTCATCTTCACTCTCATCAAGTTTTAGATCTCAATTGCCACTGTTCCACTCCCAGCTGCTGTAAAATGTATCCCATCTCTGTCATCATGAACACAATTATCAGACAATATATCAAGTGTTTGTATTTAATAAGCTATGTAATACGACCTAATAAGTTATGCAACACAAATTTGTTAAAAGTTGGGAGTTAATGGGGACAATCTCATTTTTCTTGCTTTTTTCTATTAAGTTGACTTTTTGTATTAAATAATAACAAAATACCCATATATTAGGTCATGTTCCTATGAAGTCCATAAGATAACAAAAGAAGTAGCAACATACTTGTCTAAACATACACTAATAAATGAAATGATAAACTACAATTTAGGAACAAATAAAGCATATATACTTATAGAAAGCTGGTTGTCAACCAGTCAGGTCGTTGTTGAAGTGAACCAAGAGCATGTATCCACTGTTGTTCCAGCATGCATATAAGGATCTTTCACAGGTAGTAGACTTGAACAAGCTATAATATAATATCACTTAAGCAACAATCCCTTGTTCACCAAACTTGGTTGCACTTCCATGACTCAAATGTTGACACAACTGATTTATACATATCCAAGATTAAGTCATTGGCCTTATCTCCAATGGCATTAATAGCAACCTGATGAAAAATTGCTCAACTAGTAAGTTATTTTACATATTTACAACCACATTTTTAAAGATAAATGAAAAAAAAAAATAAAAAAAATACCCGGAGGCCATATTTATCGGATTGAACAGTCATGTTAGATAAGCTTCCCATATCTATAACTTGGAGGCCAATATTCCAAGGCTCATCAACATATGGCTACAAGAAACATGAAAGAAATGTTATCATATAAATAATATTGATTTAATAAGATTAAGTTAGAAAACAAAGAAAAAAATAAAATTTATTTACACCTTGTGTAAAAGTGCACTGTTAGATCCTAAGGATCCATCAAAAAAGGCTTTAACACCACCTAAGAATATCCACTAGCTCAACCTACGTCTTGTTTTTTGTATTATATCCTAAAAAGAAAACAAGAACATCAAATTTAATGTTAACATTTAATTCATTAGAAAACATAAACATAGAAAAATTATCATGAAGTAGTCAGTAGTCAAGTAAAGTCATACAAGCAAACGTGACCATGTTGGCATTGGAAAGAAAAGGCAAACCCTAATCATCATTCTTCCTGATAAATCAAACCATTTGTAAACATATGAAATTCACAATAAAGTCAACACTTTATAAACATCTGAAATTAACAAGAAAGTCATCATTCTTCCTAATAAATCAGCCCATTTGTAAACATCTGACTGGATAAATTTGATCATCTAAAAATAGGAAAAAACTGTTTAAAACAAATCATTTCAACATCATGCTGCAAAACCAGGATATAACTTTATAAACCTACCTCGATAGAAACATAAAGAGAAATTGGAATATTTGGCAAATACAGTGTAATAAGGGCAAAGATACTTAAAATAAAAACCTGAAAGAAATATACCATAACTAGTAAAGGTAAATACAAAAAAAGAAACATCACACATAATTCCTCTCACATCAGCAAGCAAAACAATACCACAAATCTGTTGCTTGGATTGAACTGTTGGGAGTCACCATTAACCCAAAGCATTAAGTAGTGATACTTGTTGTTTACAAATACAGCACTACAAAGTTTTGTGGAGAAAATTATTACATGCAAGAAAAATAAAAAAAAAATAAATAAATAACAAAAATTAGTCACTTACCTGCCTATGGCCCTAATTAAACACAAGGAGAGAAGAACACCAAAATGTGTAGCTATTACTTTGTCAAGTTTCCTCTCCAGTGTACTCCTCTTGGAATGAACATTCATGGAATTCATCATTACCTGGCATTAAAAGTAGATTCTTAATATGAAAGAGTAGGGGTAATAATGGAAATTTGAACCTAGAGAAAGATTCAAAACCTCTGTCTCGTGTCCAGTAAATATTACAGTTCCAACAATGTACTCTTTGTTACGTAGACTGCATCCCTGCATTGCAATAAATAAAAATAAGAATAATTGGAAAACAAAATACATAAATATTCGATCTCAAAAAAAAGATGTAAACCTTTAATTTCGAGGCTTTTCAAGAGTTAAATAATCTCATGTCTTCTCCAAAGCTTTACTGATCTTAAGATTTGTTTCACAATCAAGATTTGCAGCCTGATACATAAAAGAATAAAAAAGATAAAGATAACCTATATGGTTTCATGTATCATGTATCATATAACATAAACTTGATATTAAGAGAGAGACCTCAATATAGCAGACACCATCAGTGTTTATACTTGCAAATCAGCTGGAAAGAAGGTATCCTGCTTCACCTACAACAACATAAACATTCAAATTTGCATCAATTCCAATACGAAATGTGAGAAAAATATGACTTCTCAGTATGTAGAGCCCCTTTGGTAAAAAGTTAGTAAATGTATGAAATTAGTTACTGTTCATAGATCCCCTATGGTAAAAACGTGGCAACATTGTACTTTGCTACTGTTGAAAACGCAGGGTCATTTTTGGTACATGTGCACTTACAATATAAAGAATGATAAAACGTTAATAACAAGATTAACAAAGTGAAAAAAAGGAACATGAAAGATGCACTTACAATGGATCAGGGGTGTATCTTACTTACACATGACCAATGGGACCCAGTGTCAAGACCCACTGCCATTTAGCTGGCCATTCTGAATAGAATGATAGAAAGACTATCCCCCAAATGATCATTTCATGATGCATGCAAACCAACATAAACAGCTCAATCATGAAAAAACTTCTTCAGACCCAGAAAACAACATAGTGTGTAGAGAATGCATTGAGTAGAAGCACTAGACACTTACCTATTGCTTCTTCATGTTTGTCCAAAATGATCTTTTCCTGTTGGCATCTATTAAAAGTTACATGAGAAAAAAGATGATTTTGTAAAAACAAAAAAAATATTGAAATTGTGAAGTTACCTGAATGCCCCTTTACGAGAGTCATTGGCTTCACCGATTTAGATTATTATCATTGCCATTGGAATGAGAGCACCTTGGCGATTTTCCCTCTTCAGTACCTTGCAAACAGGAAAAGGAAAGATTATATATATTTGTAAAAAATACATTCTAATGGTTATAAAACACATATTTTATGAGAATGAAAGAAAAATATGGCATATACAGTCAAATAGAGTCATAGAAACGCAGGTTTTAAAAAAATGATTCACCCTAATTGATAAAGCATTTTTAAATTTTTCATGAGAAATGGAGCTAATGGATAGGAGAAATAAATCTCAAGGAGAAGAAAAAAAGGGGAAGGGTCACCTGTTTGTTTCCTGAATCCAACATGCAACTCAGGGGACTACAATGAAACTGAAATGACAGCAATCGTATTCTCAGAGCGATATATGTAGAAATAGCATTTGTAAGTGAAAGCGTGGGGAGAGGACTGAGTTTGACTAGGGTTTAGATAGCCTCCCGGGCGTTAAACCCTTTCAAGTTATCCAATCAGATATCAACGAGGTCAGCACCATAAGATTTCGCCGAATTCATTTGAATCAACATCTGATCCACCGTATCCACCATTATCGGTGCACATATTAGGGTTACATTCCTCCTAATCCCTTCACGTCCACCATTCCTCCTAATCCCTTCACGTCCACCCATTTTCTCGGATGAATTAATCCCCTGAACCATATATGAGCTAATCGGAAGAAGAGTAAGCCCTTTCTCCTCCATAGTTTCATTGCTAGATTTAGGTTTCGTTGTAGGCTGGGTCGCTTTCTGTTTCTGTAGCATCAACCTCTGATTGTACATAATCCATAGCTTGACCTAATATTAGGGCTTTTAGACTCCAAAAAGTTATTATCGGAAATATTGAGATTAACCCTCGATATGATATTTTCCCTTTAATCTGGGTGGTTTATCCCTAATATAAGGAGAGTTTTTAGGGTTCAATGGCGGTGGCAATAGAATGCCTTAGGGTTTGCAGAGAGAAGGGAGGGGGGGGGGAGAGAATGGTTTATCCCTAATATAAGGAGAGTTTTTAGGGTTCAATTGTGGTATCAAATGGAATGCCTTAAGGTTTGTAGAGAGAAGGGGGGAGAGAGAATGAGGGGAGATGTACAGAAGAAAGAGGATTGGTGATGTTATTAGGGTTTTTTTGGGTATTAGAGTGAGAGAGATAGAGAGAGGGAGAAGGAGAGAGAGAGAAGAACGATGGAAATAAGGCAGAGGGTAACAATGGCGGCCTTTCAAACTTTTGGGATTTTCGTTTCCCCCCAGCTGCAAAAAGAAGAGAATGCGCCTTTCATTAAAAAAATATAAAGCGACATTTCTAGACGACACCCATTTTTAAATAAGCGCCCTCCGTGTTTTTTTTGTTCGACATTAATTTTAAGGCACGCATAAAAGCGTGTCCACTATCCTTCAAATTTTAGAAGAGATAACATTATTTTTAGGGCACACGCTTTTGCGTATCGTAGATCACCGCGTGTCATTGTTTGCGCGTCATTAAAGGGCTATTTTCTAGTAGTGAACAAATCCGTTGAAAGTTGATGCTTTGCTTAAAAGCATAATAAAGGAGACATCTACTCCTCTTCCAGATGGAAAAACTAGCTTGTTGGTTAGTTCCAACCCTTGTACTAAAGGAATCAGTAAAATGACAATTTTGTCACATACTAACAAAACTATGAAGGAGCTTAAACCAGATTACAAAAAGGCTCTTAACAAAGAAGCCGAAAGATTCTATGTAATCTACAAAGGGCCACACGCCGGAATACATACAGAATGGGGAATTACATAAACCTTCTACAAGGTCGATAAAGTAACATGCAAGAAGTTCAAAAATGAAACAAGTGCACGACTTAGTTTTTCCACCTTCAATGACGAAGCCAATCAAATCAAAAAACCTCTTCTAAAGCCGAAAGTCCAAAAGATCAAAGAAGAACACAGAGACCAAAGATTTGATATCCCAAATGACGTCGAATATGAAGTCAACAACCCTGCAATCTCCTTTGAAGATTTCAGAACAATCTGGAGTAAAGCTAGAGCGGCATGCCTAGAAGATCTTATCCACAAAAGATTTTTCACAACAGATAAGAAAACCAAAAGTCTGTACAACTTCCTTGAAGGAGCAGATCCAAGACTAATCCAACAAGCCTTTTCAGCAGGATTAATAGACAACATCTATCCAAGTTGCAATTTGCAAGAATTAAAGTTCTTCCCAACCAGTATGATAGAAACCATTAAGAATTTCTGAAAGAAAGTTCTCAAAGCAAGAGATGATCTAATTTACATCAGAGTCATCTCCTCTCTTCCAGAATGGATTCAAGAAGCAACACTTGACCCTTATCACTATATAGAAATTGGCTTAGCAAAAGCTAAAAAAGACATCGAACAATCTCGACCCACGGAAGACAAAGATCTCCCGTTCAAAGAAATCCTTCACCAAAATCGTATCAACGGCCTTCGAAGAATTTCTGAAAAGATCATTGAGATAATCTCAGGATCAAAGAAAAAAGTTAATTATACAAATTCACATTTTATAATCACCAGCTGGAGCTATGGCAACACCAGTAACGAAGACCTTGAACGAGCAAATAGTTCATGAACAACAACTTTGATGCATCTACCACTACAAGACAAATCTTTTGTAGGCATGCAGAGTAGTTGTTTGAAGACCATCATTGCAACTATTGCAATTGCAGCGACTCCACGACAAAAGAGGGTCCCTGCTCTGAAGATGACAAATCTTCATCATCTTAAAGAAAGACGCTTCACGTGTCAAATGGCCCCCGCCGCTCAAGAAAATAATGCCTCCTATATTATTAAAAGCTTTTCCAGCTGTCCACAATAATGTAATCGTGAGTGGATAGAAACGTCATGCCTGATGTAATAGGCAATTATCAGACCCTCTCAATGTATCTATAAATTGAGAGTTATGTTTTCATTAGAGATCATCACAACAACGAGTGCAAGAAAAACACTCTCTATCCTGTAAAATTTCAATTCAATGTCTTGTGAGTAAAATCTCCGTTAAAAGGGAAATGATGTAAAATATTGTAAGAGTACTCCCGTTTTGGGAACTCTTTTATCAATAAATCCATATTTTGTTATACTTGACTGTTCATACAAAATAGAGTCATGAAACCTGTAAGTGACAGAGTGTCAGGTCGACGATGGTCAACAGTACCGCAGGCATGAGACCAATAGGGAAAGCAACCACACAGACCAAAGGATGACACAGGCTAGCTTGAATAGTTTCTATCTATGTAAGTATTACACCTACTCCAAAACACTTATTGATTAATGAGTTTCTCTTTACAAACTTAGCATCTATTCCCTTCTTATTAAAAAATTGTTAAAAAATCCAGGACACCCAAACTGGTATTAGAGCCTTGTTAAAAATGGCATTACAATAAGAAAGAATAACTTACACTGCATTTGACCAACATACATTGGATGTCCAAAATCTCATATTCTTCAGGCGTCCATGGCCCTTTTTTCATCCCTATCTCCACCATCTTTCCTATTACTATTATTTTTGCAAGAATACGAAACAGAAAATTACTTCAAAATCTTCACCCCAAATATGTATTTAGTGATGAATCAAAATGTGGCGTACTGTAACACCAAAATTTTCATTTAAATTCGCTTATCTCTTTAACACTTTTCATAAAAATCTCATTTTTATTTAAATTACAATACATGACTCTTGTGTTCAATCAATTAATAAACCAGGATCCTCAAAACAGACGCTTCCTCTGGTGTTTACAATCGAGCCGGTGCCGTCCCGTGATCCTGAGAAAACCTGAAACATATAACACAAAACACTATAAGCACGAAGCTTAGTGAGTTACCCAAAATACCACTCTAACACATATTAGCCACTCATGGCCATAACTCTGTTGACCCTTTGGTCAGTGTGTCTCAGTGGGACCCTCCAGTCCCAAATCTCTGGGGACCCTCTGGCCCTAACTCTATGGACCCAAAGGTCCTAACTCTGATAACTCTGAATCATACATATCACATATCACAATAAATCTCAACACATAAATAGCATACAAATACACTAGCACATAATTCTAAAAATACCACATATAACACATATTAGCCACTCGAGGCTATAACTCTGTGGGCCCGTGGGACCTAACTCTGTGTACCTTCTGGTCCTAGCTTTGTGGACCTTCCACCTTGAACTATGATCCTCTATTTCCCTCTGACTCACCGAGTCATTCCCCCAACTCGGTAAGTTACCCACTGAGTGAACTACGGGAAACCCTAGCCCTACTCGTCGAGTCTCTTCTTGGGACTCGGTGAGTTCATGTCATGCTCAAACTCAAATGACCTCCTGAGGTCAGATTCGTTCCTCTAACCCATAGATCTGACCTCCTTAAGCAATATAAACACGTAAAGTCTGGATCTTGATGCCCATGCAAAGACCCAATGGCTCTACTTGAAGAAATGGCCTCAATATGTCACCCTAAGCTCATATCTCCCAATGTCACCCATAAAGATCAAGAATTTAAGGTCTCTGGACCTCTTTGGATCCAGATCCGAAGCCTCAACACAAGAAGGGACCAATTGCTCCATAAATCATACTCTAAAGGGGCTAGAAACTCTAACTCTCAAAGATTAAGACCAAAACTGAAGAAGGATCGAATATATACCTCAATATGAAGTCTCTAGGCTCTGA